AATTTGACTCCATCTGCTGCATTGAATGGTGATATTCTTCATGAAAATTGGTCTGGTAAATTGATGATTATTCTGTACTTAGAACCTTTGGCTGTGCTGCTTTTTCTCTTCAGAAAGAGCGAAAGCTTGAACCTAGAGCGAGAAAGTGTGTTTTTCTAGGGTACCCTAAAAGTGTTAAGGGTTACAGGTTATGGGATAGAAGTCAAGAAAGGGTTAAGATTATTGTAAGTAGAGATGTCACATTTAATGAGGGTGAAATGCCTTACCTTAAGATTGAACTTGAACCTGTGAGCGAAACAGAACAAGGTGAAGAGAGAGATCAGTTTAAGGTGGAGTTAGGAAAAGCCATCTGTCCTTGCCACTCCAAATGAGAAGAAGACTCAGGTTTAGGAACCTAAGGTGGTGAATAGAGATGAAGTAATGATAGAGGAGCATTCTAAAGAAGAAAGTCCCTCAGCAAACTATAGTTTAGCTAGAAATAGAGAGAGAAGACAAACAAGAGAGCCTAGAAGATTCGGATATGAATCTTAGCTAGTTTTTGCTTACTCTACTTATGAAGAATTAGTCAATAGAGAGCCAAAAATCTTTGAGGAGGCGATGAAAGGCGAACAATATAAAGAGTAGTTTAAGGTAATGAAAGAGGAGATGGGTCCCTTAAAAAAGAATCAAACTTCGCAGCTAGTACCTATTCCTAAGAATAAACCTACCATCGATTGTTAAGGGGTCTTTAAACTTAAAGAAGGTACTAGTGCTTCTGAACCCTTAAGGTTTAAAACTAGGTTAGTAGCTAAGGGCTATACACAGAAGAAGGGTGTTGATTATAATGAGATTTTTCACCAGTTGTTAAGTACGCTACTATTAAGGTCATGCTTGTATTGGTTGCATATTTTGACTGGAAACTTGAATAACTTGATGTAAAAATGCAACTTGAATAACTTGATGTAAAAATTGATTTTTTACATGGTGAAGTTGATGAGAAATCTTTATGAATCAATCGAAAGGTTTTAAAGACAGATTAAAACTTGATCATATGTGTTTTCCTAAAAGGTCTTTATATGGCTTAAAACAATTACCTGGACAGTGGTACAAAAGATTTGACTTTTTTGTAGTCACTATAGGGTTTCGAAGAAGCAAGTTTGATCATTGCCTATATTTTCAACATATCGATGCTGATAATAACTATTTGTTTTATTGCGCTATGTGGATGATATGCTCTAAATTGGTTCATCACCTAAGTGAATAAATAACATAAAAACAAAGTTAAATGGCGAATTTGACATGAAAGACCTGGGAAAGGCCAAGAGAATCTTCGCTTGAAAATTGAAAGAAATAGATCAAATTCTACATTATTTTTGCATCAGTCTCCGTATATTTCAAAGGTGTTGAAAATATTTGATATGAATGATTACAAATTTGTTACATTACAATTAGTTACTTATTTTGTATTATATAAAATTTAGGCTCCATGTAATGATTATGATATAGAATACATGAGTAGGATTTCATATTCTAATGTGATTCATTTCATTACATATTTGATAATTTGCACTAGACTAGATTTAACTTTTACTATTAGTACTACCAATGGGTACATATCTAATGTTGGTACCTAGCATTGGGAAGCCTCGAAGTGGCTGTTAAGGTATTTAAAGGGAACTAGTAATGTATGTCTAAAGTTTGGTGTTAGCAAAGAAGGAGTGAAATTGAAAGGTTTCATAAATACGAACTATGCAGATGATAGGGATGGTAGGAAATCGACTTCCTCTTATGTGTTTACTTTATCTAATTCTTATGTTAGTTGAACAACACATCGTTGCACTATCCATGATAGAGTTAGAATATATTACTATCACTGAAGCCATTAATGAGACTTTGTGGCTTAGAGCCTACTTTATGAACTTTGTGTCTTGAATGATTATGTGGCAGTATATTTTGATAGTCAATCTTCTATACATCTATGCAAAAACCTTGTTTTTCACTAATGCACCAAACACATTGATGTTAGACTACACTTCATTAGAGATATCATGTCACAAGAAGTGGTAAAACTTGAAAAGATACATACACAATACAATCCGTCGGGCATGGGCACAAAGGTGTTGCCCTTGGTAAAGTTTAGAAGTTGCAAAAATCTTCTAAACATCAGTGAAGGTAATTATTTTCCAATTTTATCGTTCCTTTATATTATTGCTAACATGTGTTAGCAGGTCCTTTGACACCAAGGTGAATGTTTATTAGACAAATTGTTGTCAAACAACATCTCCGGTTTCTTTCCTTCTTCTTCGTTCACTTTCGGTTGGTTCACATCTACTACCTTTGTGGTTTGATTCTCGTGTGATATTGGCTTTCGTTTGTGGTCTCTTTGCCGGTATTCAAAAGCAACCATAAGTGGAGGAACCGTTTTGGGAGTTTTGGATTGTTGCTTGTTGTGGTGTCGATTGGTGGGTAAACTGAGCCTAATAACGCCTTAGTGGAAGTATGTTTTCTCTCTACAAATGAGGTCCTTAAGTTCAAAAACTGCAAGAAAACAAAACAAACAGTGTATATGCATTTGACTTAGTCATATCTGGCCACATAAAGATGACCTTAATCAAGATATAATTGAAAAGAGAAAGTGGCAAATAAAATATTTGTGTTTTGGAGTGGATAGTAATTCCTCTAATTTACATTAGAAACCATTAGAAGTAAAAATAGAGTCTCTCTTGAAATTTATTTTTAAGCATTATTTCTTTAAAATAAAGAACATTTTGTATTTAAAAAGTTTCTTGGAAATGCTCCAACAATCTTTATTTAAAGAAATAACTAAAATTTAGAAAATCACAAAAATTTAAATAACTATTAACTAAATCTAGATAATTATTAAAATTAGAAATAAATGACGATAATTAAATTCCTAAATTCAAAATAAATGGAATTAAAATCCGAATTTATTTTATAGATAAATACTAAATTAAACATAATTAAAAACCCATATAAGTTCCTAATGTCTTCATGTGGAACAGTCCAGATGATCATTTGCTCACCACCTCAGCGTGGTAAAGGAAGTATAGAACTTCGATGCCCTTTGGAAGCCCTAAGTGTTTGTTGCAGGTTTTTAATGAGGTCATCTGACGTAGCGAAAGTTATAGGAAAGATGAACAAATCTCACAAAGAAGAAAACTCACGAAAAGTTTTATTTCATTCCAATCAATCTGCAGCCTCAAGAGGCTTACAACGTATTTATAGCAAAAATCTAAAAAATTCAAAAATTAAATAATAATACAAAAAAGATTTTTTTTCTAAAAATGGAAAAAAATCAAGATAATGACGAAAATTAATAGTCCTAATCTTCGGGATTACTTTCCAACAAACAGAATGTAAATCCGAATTTATTTGATTGAGATATACTTAAAATAAGAATTACCAAAAAAGGAAAAAAATGCCTAAACGAGGGCCTAAACGAAGGAATTTGCCCGAAATTGATCCTACGTCAAGCCTTTGTGTTTAACTTTTCAGCTCGTTTCCTATCGAATTAGACTACAAATTCGTAAAAAATGGACAACTCCAAATTTCCTCCAAATTATTTTTTCTTACGCCGGTCCCACTTTCCCATGAAGTCCAATTTCTTTTGAACCACATCATTTCCTCCCAGTTGAGAAAAATTCGCCCTCGAATCTGGCGGAGGAATAACGTCATCATCAGAATTATCACCATGAAATGGCACCAGATGCTTGACATTAAAAACGTCGGATGTACGAATATGACTGGACAACTTTAAACGATATGCATTCAGATTAATCTTTTCAATTATCTCCAATGGACCAATTTTTCTTGCAGCAAGCTTGGTATATTCATGAGCAGGAATACGGTCCTTTGTCGACATCGCCCAAACAAAGTCACCGACCTCAAACTCAACATGGCGACGTTTAAGATCCGCATCATGTTTGTACTTGGTTACAGCGGCCTGCAAATGATCAAAGTCTGTGAATGAACCTGCTGCAACTGTTGAATGAAATCCTCCGCTTTACCATGCATTTTAACAACAGTAGAAGCTAGAACCAAATCAAAAGGACTACGAGGAACAATACCATAAACCACCTGAAAAGGACTAAAGCCTGTACTTCGGTTAACTGCATGATTGTGAGCAAATTTGGCTTGACATAATTTTTGATCCCAAGAGTTGACATGATCACCAACTAAACAACGCAGCAAATCACCCAAGGAACGGTTCACAACCTTCGTTTGACCATCTGTCTGGGGATGATATGCACTGCTGAAATCCAACCGTGTATTGAACAAATGCCATAAGCTACGCCAAAAGTGATTAAGGAAGCGAATATCCCGATCAGACACAATAGAAACAAGAAGACCATGTAGACGATAGACCTCACGAAAATACAGTAGTGCCACATTGATAGCATCCGTAGTCTTCTTGCAGGGAATGAAATGGACCATCTTGGAAAAACGATTAACCACTACAAAAATAGAATCACATCCGCGCTGAGTCTTGGGAGGTCCCAAGACGAAATCCATACTGATGTCTGTCCAAGGTTAGGTCGGAATAGGCAGGGGCATATACAAACCAGCATTCATCGCTTTCCCTTTAGCAAGATGACATGTTCGACAATGCTCTACGAACTTAACAACATCTTTGCAAAATGAAGGCCGAAAATAAGAAGTCATAACAAGCTGTAATGTTCAATCACGACCCACGTGACCCTCATTATGCAACTCTTGAATTATCTTAAGCCACAAACTACCATCGGAAACATATAACTAATTTTCCCAAAAAAGAAACCCGTCGACCCACACAAAGTCCGACTGTACACTCTCTTGCAACTTTCAAATAATCTGTGAAAAGTATGGATTAATAGCAATAAAATCACAAATAGAGTCAAAACCTGGGACCTCTACGCCAATTCTGTTAAAAGAGTTTGTTGCCTACTCAATGCATCTGCCACCTTGTTAAGGGCACCTGCTTTATGCTTAATTACAAAAGTAAACTACTGCAAATAGGCAACCTAAGAAGCATGCAGGGCAGACACCTTATCTTGAGTACCAAGGTGTTTAAAGGCATCATGGTCAGTATACAGAATGAACTTCTTCTGTAACAAATAATGACGCCAATGTTGAACCGCCTGAACTATTGCATAAAACTCCACATCATAAGCACTATATCGAGACTTAGGGCCAGAGAGTTTCTCACTGAAATACGCAATGCTCTGGCTCAGCACACCACCAATTCCCACCTTCGAAGCATCACAATGTAGCTCAAATGGCTGAGTAAAATCAGACAACACCAAAATTGGGGCAGTTGTCAATTTCTGCTTAATCAACTGAAGGGATAACTCTACCTCGGGAGTCCACTGAAACTTACCATTTTTCATACAATCTATAATCGGCACCATGATACTACTGAAATGTGGTATGAACTTGTGGTAAAAGGAAGCAAGGCCATGAAAACTTCGCACTTCTGTAATGGTCTTAGGCTGTGGCCACTGACTAATTGCCTCTGCTTTGATGTATCAACCGCCAACCCTTCCTTCGACACCACATAACCCAGGAACACAGCACGGTCAGTTAGAAAAATACACTTCTTCACTGCAGCGTAAAACTCATCCCTGCAAAGGATTGAAAGAACTTCTTGAAGGTGTTGGACGTGATCATCATTGTTAGCACTATAAATCAGAATATTATCAAAGTAAACTACAATGAATTTTTTGATAAATGGACGAAGAGATTGATTCATTACTAGCATAAAAGTACTAGGCGCATTGGAAAGACCGAATGGCATTACTAACCACTCGTACAACCCTTCTATTGTCTTAAAGGCCGTCTTCCACTCGTCCCCAGGTCCGATACAAATTTGATGGTACCCACTCTTCAAATCGAGCTTATTGAACACATAAGCACTGGTAAGCTGATCTAGCAAATCATCCAAGCGAGGAATAGGAAAATAGTAACGGATCGTAATCTTATTAATCGCCCTACTGTCCATACTCATACGCCACGTGCCATTCTTTTTTGGCATAAGGAGAGCAGGAACAGTACAAGGACTAAGACTTTCTTTGATGTGTCCCTTCGCCAAAAGTTCCTCCACTTGTCTGCGCAACTCCTCATGTTCAGTAGAACTCATCCTGTAATGCGCCCGGTTAGGTAGAGTAGCATCAGGTACTAAATCAATCTGATGCTGAATGTCCCGTAGTAGTGACAGTCCCTCTAGAAGCTCGTCTAGAAAAGCTCCTGAAACTCTTCTAACAGTGGATGAATTCTGTGGGGAAACTCCTATTCAGTATCGACTGACCTGCCTACTAACACATACACTAAACCAGATTCTGCCATCTCTGTCTCAAATTTTGCTCTAGTTAACAAGTTGGTACCATCCCCAACTACTTTTATTGGGCTCTTGTCGGGTAGTAACACAATTTTCTATTCCCCAAACAGAAAACTGTACATGTTGGTGTACCCGTCATGCAGCGAGTGTCGATCAAACTACCAAGGCCTCTCTAATAACAAATGACATGCATCCATCTCCACCACATCATACAAAACTTGATCTTTGTAGGTAGGCCCAATGGAAAAACTAACTAGACACACTGGGATACCTCAACATCACTACTCCTCCTCAACCAAGCCAACTCATACGATTTGGGATGTTTCTCAGTCTGCAGACCCAGCTTCTTAATGACCTCCTCAGCAACCACATTTTTGCAACTTCCAGAGTCAATAACAAATTTACAGATTCGCCCCTCAATAGTACACGTGGACTGGAAGATGTTATTATAAAACCAGTCGTTCTTATTATCCAGGGGAGTTAAAAAACTCCCCTCACCACCAATGCTTGCCCACGTCACCAACAACTAACTCTTCCTCTTCTGCTGTTCCCTCATCATCTCCATTATCAAATACGGGCGCCCTCTCATAATCTCCATACCCATCATCAACAAAGAGCACTCTACGCGAGTTTTTTGGACACTCAGATTGCCTATGACCCACACCTCCGCAAGCGAAGCAACGGATACCATCCCCAGGATGCGCTGACGATTGCACAGGATTTGGCTTAGAAGAACCAGCCTGGCTAAAATTACCAGGACGTGTTGCCTGTTGTTGTGGGTTACTGGAAGAACCCCATACGGTGAAAGTCCCTGTATTCCTTCTGGACTACTGTTTCTCTATCTATATGGCCTTTTGATGTGCCTCAAAAACTGTCGCAGGATCAAACATGTTCAGCGTGTCCTGTATTTGGGAACGAAGTCCACCTACATATTGCGACACCAATTGTTCTTCCGTTTCCATCACTTCATTCCTAGTAATCAACATGTAAAATTTTGTCGTATAGTCATCAACCGCCTTCATGCCTTGACACAAATTTTGCAATCTCTGATACATGGTCCGAACATAGTTATAGGACAAAAGCTGCTTCTTCATGTGCTTCTTTAGTTTATCCCAAGATGCAATCTTAACCTTCCCTAATTGGGATCTTGTCACTTTTGTTTGTTGCCACCACGCCAAATCTTGACGCAACGAGAGGCACAGCTTTTCAGCAGGAACCTCCTTAAATTTGAGAACCTCCTCCACTGCAGCCACCCAATCAGGAATCTTTTGGGCTTAATCCACCATGAAACTTAGGAATATCAACCTTGAATCCTAGTTCCCAGCGCCTGTTCTCCTCCGGGCCATCTCCTCCCCATCGGACTGGCAGATCTATTGGATGATCAAGAGGCGCAAACGGATTTTCATCCTCAAAATCCTCAAGTGGTTGGGCCACAGGCACATGTTGCTGTGGTGCGAGTGTAGCGATTTGCTGGGTCAACAAATCCACTTGTTGACGCAGCTGTGCGATTTTATCACATCTATTCACCTCCTCTGTTGGGGCTTCACGGGCTGCTATATGTCTCCTTGGCGGCATGGTGAAGGAACAAACCTGGCTCTGATACCAACTGACGTATCGAAAGTTATAGGGAAGATGAACAAATGTCACAAAGAAAAAAACTCACAAAAAGTTTTATTTCATTCCAATCAATCTGCGGCCTCAAGAGGCTTACAACGTACTTATAGCAAAAATCTAGAAAATTTGGAAATTAAATAATAATAATAATAAAAGATTTTTTTTCCAAAAATGGAAAAAATCAAGATAATGATGAAAATTAATAGTTCTAATCTTCGGGATTACTCTCCAACAAACGAAATATAAATTCAAATTTATTTGATTGAGATATACTCAAAATAAGAATTACTAAAAAAAGAAAAAAATGCCTAAACGAGGGCCTAAGCGAAGGAATTTGCCCAAAATTGGTCCTACATCATAAGCAAAGTCTTTGAGTTTAATTTTTCAGCCCGTTTCCAACTGAATTAGACTACAAATTCGTAAAAAATGGACAACTCCAAATTTCCTCCAAATTATTTTTTCTTGCACCGATCTCACTTTGCCATGAAGTCCAATTTCTTTTGCACCACATCATCATCCCAACCTGATAAGGTGGAAGGTCACAGTGACGGGCTTTGCATATGGTGTGGTAGGTTGGAATACATGGTACATGCTTTATTTGTGTGTAATCAGTTGAATCCTCGTCCATAGAATCCCTGGTGCAGTGAGGACATGTCTACGTTGGCGTAGGGCACACATCATTATTATAGTGTAACCCTACCATATTTATTTATAGAGTTATTATGCATAATATGTGCCATTTGTTTTACATCCGTGTGGACCCGCTTACCAGCTTATCCAATGATCTTGCACATAAAAATTGCGACTTTTTTTTATTCATCATAGATCTTGATTTGTAAATAAACCTTGTTTCTATTATTTCCATATTATAGAGATTGTGAGTAACATGATAGTTGAAATTCTTGATTAAAGTATTATATATAATCAATAATTATTACACTTGTTACTCGGGGAAAGTGGCATACGATTGCATTCTCGTCAAGGAAGACAATTATGAACACAAGAGCCAGTTGATCGAATCAATATAATGTGTGTAAGTCAATTCTATTAGTTCATATTCAGCAAAGTTAAAATATTACATAGGAGTAAGTTTACTAGTAAGAAATAAACTGTATGTCAAAGCTGAAAATGAATAACTTTGTTTGAAAGTGACCCGTTACTGTCTAAAGAAATAACCTTTTTTTAAGCACAAGTAAAGAAATAGCATGTCCTTAAAACCTCGTCAAACATTCCATCTGCAGAGAGAGATACTTTGAACAAGACCCAAAATCATCCATAAACAAAAGAGATGACAAACGCACGTTGTGAAAACATTCAAATATCCTTATTAAAAATCCACGAAAAATCAATAGAGGTCGAGGTTGAAGATGCTGAGAATGGCTTTGAATCATTGAAACAGAAAGTGGTTGCCTCGATTGATACAGAGCTCCATGTAGCCACGGAGTACATGCCTAAGGCTTCCCTTCTAGGTGAGATTACTTCACTTTTAGTGAAAACTGGGAGTGACATGTGTAGCTTCACTCCTCGAGAGAGAAATATGGCTACCCACATGATCGCCTCATTTCTATTTCTAATTTATTGTATCACTCATGGACTAATTATATGCCATATTGTTTGAGCGTGATTGTTATGCTGGATAGTGCACAATGAATAGAGTTGTTTCTTGCTAAAAAAAATGACAAAGAACACAAGTTCACAGATCAATATCACACTATTTACTATATGTGTGTGTGTAAAAACAATGTCATCTCTTTGAAGGCAAATATCTAATTATTTCAACTGACATTTCACACTATCAAAATAAAATATCAATTCTCTACTGTATTATTTGATGTGTTTCAGCCGCATATTAATCAAGTTTCTTCCAGCCGAAATTGTTGAATTTCACTTCTTAATGTAGAAGAATCCACATGCATGGATGAAGAAGAAAATTTGAATTAAAACTCTCCACCTTTTGACAGTCACAACTTCAATTGCTTAATGGAGAAGAAACACCTATGCAAGAAGACAATTTGAAATGAAATTCTCCATTCGCAATTCTTGATTGGTTTTTGGCCACAAGTTTATGACGGTTTGTAGCCAAAAAAATTTCTATAAATATGTGCTACCATAAAGAGAAAATAGATGTCTCTTGAGAGGAAGAAAAATAGGATAGAGAAGAGAGAAAAAAGAGAGATTAGAGAGATTCTTTTTGAGAGTTTTTTTTTTCCTTTTGAGTTTGTAAAATCCGTTGTAAATTCTATTCAAGTAGAAATGGAATTGTTGTTCCTCTTTTATTCACTTCTCATGATCGGAGAATCACAACAAGTGGTATCAGAGCCAGGTCCATCAATTAGCCCTCGTAGATTTTGATAAAGCTTTAGCAAGCCAAGATGTCAATGGAGGAATCTTCATCAGGAGCTATGATCAAACTCACTGCCACCAATTATACACTGTGGAGGCCTCGGATGGAAGACCTCCTTAGTTGTAAGGTTTTGTATGACCCCTTGGAAGCCAAATGTGTAAACCGTGATCCTACCAAGGAGGCGGAGTGGAAAAAGTTAAATAGAAAAACTATCGGTCAAATTTGACTATGGATTGACCATAGTGTTTTTCACCATGTAGCACAGGAGATAGATGTATATGACCTCTGGAAGATTCTGAAGGACATGTACCAAGCCAAGACCGCTCGAAATAAAGCCCTGTTGATGAGACATTTGGTGAATCTGAAGTTAAGGAGTGGAACTTCAGTTGCTGAGCACATCAGTGAATTTCAGAGCTTGTAAACCAATTGTCATCTATGGAGATGCCGCTTGGGGATGAAATACAAGCCTTACTACTTCTAAGTTCTCTTCCTGATAGCTGGGAGATATTAGTAGTATCTCTTAGCAACTCAGCCCCTGATGGAAAACCTACCATGTCTATGGTTAAAGATGTCCTATTTAATGAAGAGGCTAGGAGAAAAGACGTGAACACGGACCAATCACATGCCCTTATCACAGTGAACTGGGAAAGACAGCAAGGAGGCGTTCAAGACAAGGGGAGAGGCAGAAGCAAAAGTAGGGGTAGATCCATAGATGGAAGGAAGCCTACTTGCAAGTGCTACTATTGTGGTATGTAGGGCCACTTGAAGAAGAACTACAGAAAATTGCTACGAGAGCAAGGCCACAACAGTTCGTAGCCGAAAAATAAGGAAGGAGAGACACTAGTCACTATTTTCGAGGAGGTGACTATCTGCTCCATCCATGAGGAGACATGTCTTCATGTCTCAAACCAAGATATTGAGTGGGTAATAGACACTGAAGCATCTTACCACGCCACTCCACAAAGAGATTTCTTCACAACATACAAAGTTGGTGATTTTGATGCAGTGAAGATGAGAAATACCAGTTCTTCTAAGATCGTAGGAATTGTTGATGTTCGGATACAAACAAACCTCGGGTTTAAAATAACCCTGAAGGATGTTCGACATGTACCTGATCTTCGACTAAATTTACTTTCAGGGATAGCCCTTGACAAATAGGGCTATGTCAATCAATTTAGTAATGACACATGGAAAATGATGAAAGGCTCCATGGTTGTCGCTCTAGAACATATATGTGGCACTTTATACAAGACTCATGTGAAAATGCATGTGGATAGCCTCAACGTAGTAGAACGTGAAGCTTCTCAAAATTTGTGGCACCAGAGACTTGGTCATATGAGTGAGAAGGGATTGTCTACTTTGATAAAGAAGGAGCTAGTCACAGTTGCCAAGGAAGCTACACTGGATCCTTGCAGTCACTGTCTATTTGATAAGCAACATAGAGTCTCCTTCAATTTCTCTTCTGTGAGACGATCAGAGTTGCTCAATATAGTACACTTTGATGTTTGTGGTCCCTTGGAGGTTAAATCACTAGGCAGTAACAAGTATTTTTTAACATTCATTGATGACGCTTCTCGAAAGGTGTGGGTATATTTCTTGAAGACGAAGGACCAATTATTGGATTAGTTCAAATCATTTCATGCATTGGTAGAGCGTGAAATAGGAAAGAAGCTGAAATGTCTTCGCATAGATAATGGAGACGAGTATACTTCCAAAGAGTTTGATGCCTATTGCAGGACATACGGCACTCGACATGAGAAGACGATCCCACATACCCCACAACATAATGGAGTCGTCGAGAGGATGAATCGGACGATTATGGAAAAGGTCAGATGCATGATAAGTATGGCTAAGCTGCCAAAGCCATTTTGGGGAGAAGCTGTTCGAACCACCTGCTACTTGATCAATAGATTACCATCAATATTGTTGAATTTTGAAATTTCGGAGAAAGTATGGTCTGGTAAATATCCCTCCTACTCTCGCCTGAGAGTATTTGGCTGTTTAGCCTTTGCACATGTATCCAAGGAGCTAAGACAACAAGTAGATGCAAGGACCACTCCATGCATCTTTATAGGCTATGGAGATGAAGAATTTGGATACAGATTACGGGACCCAAAGACAAAGAAGGTCATCAGAAGCAGGGACGTAGTGTTCCATGAAAAACAAACATTAGAAGACATTGAAAAGCCCACAATATCTCCTAATTCTAATTTTGGTGCCCAAAATATTGCTCCACCATAGATAACGACGATGTGCATGAGAAAATGCCGAAAATAGAATAAGAGGATGAAGAAGGGGATTTGATTAGTGGGAGTCACAATCCTCTTCATCAGAAGTTGTTGGACTATCACATCAACCAGATGATGATGCACCTCCTGAAATCAACGATCCACAGGTAAGAAGATCTGAACGAGGATGGATTCCATCAATAAGATATCTAGACTCAGAAAACTTTTTGCTCACTGTCGAAGGAGAGCTAGAGAGCTTTCAGGAAGCACAAACTCACGTGGACAAAGACAAGTGGATACAAGCAAGGTAGGATGAGATGGAGTCACTGCAGAAAAATCAAACATATGAGTTAGTTGAGCTTCTGAAGAGAAAGAAGACATTAAGGAAT